GGAGTGAATTTCTGACTGGCTTACTCAGGCAACAGAGCAAGTTGCCAGTGTTACTATTGTACTTATGACACATCAGGCACTCTACCACTGGAGGGAGTCTGGTCACATATCCTTTGATGTAACTTGTACCCTAATAACTTCCTATTCTTTACTGGGAATGAATTAGAACCCCTACCAAGAATATGAATTGGTATACATAAATAATCTTATGGTTTCAAGCTTTTCTTCCAAGTTTGTTTTAGTTTTTTGTGTTTTTTTTTTTGTTTCATACTAATAAAAATTTACACTATCTTTATAGTTATATCTGGGTCAAAAAATGAATCCAGAGGTCACATATGGTAGTACAGATCTATCCTTAGAAAAAATAATAAAGAAAAAAATTGTTAAATCAAGAACAGAGAACAGCTCTGATGCAAATGCCTACCCAAAGCTGATATCAAAGTCACAAAGCACATGAAGTTCAGCAAACAGCAGAATGGAGAAGCTGAAAAAACCTTGCAAGATTAAGGCTGACAAGGATATTTTTGATGGGATAGGAAGATATAAGCAAATGATAGATACTAGAACTGTGATGTTAAAATTCACTCTCCTTTTAAGATTCAGAATTTACAGTTTCCATTTACTACTCATGAAGTTAAACTGACATAAGTTGCTAAGTAAATCAAACACAACTGAAGTGGAAAAAAAAGATCTAAACACTGGGGGAAAAAAAAAGCAGTTCAACTCAAGAATGTATGTCAAGAATAATATTCTATTTACAATAATGTTCTCTCCTTTTTTGTCAAGATGACACAAAGAAATGATATGTAAGTAATACTTCATTTAATTATTTTAAAAATCCTACAGGATCAATATTAGTATACCCATTTTATATGGGAAAGCTTGAGGCTAAATAAAGGTAAAGTAATAAATATGCTTAAGGTAGTAAGCATATCTTTTAAGAGTCAATATTCTTAAAGGTTTTTCTGATTCTAAGGCAGTATCACCACAATGCTATATGCATGCCAGTGAGATTGAGTCACAATTACAGTACATTCCTGTACTTTTTATATGTTACATTTAGGGATACTCCTCCTTGATGTCTGCTTCAGAAAATGTCACTAAGGAATAGCTAATATAGCACTATGACACAAAGCATTTCTGTGTTACTTTATGTTTCCAAAGTTAAAATATGTTTAATTCACATGTCAATAAGCATAAAGAAGTCCCAACTGATTTATAACTTATGTAGAAAAGTCCAAATTTAAAGAAATTTATCTTTTTAAAACTATTTATAATGGAGTAAACCTTTTTTCTCTTCGTCCACAAAACTATTGTTAGAGACAAAGACAGGGAAATCTGTCTAGCTTCAAAAACTCCATAAACCATCTCTAAGCAGTTATAAACTGCCTTGATTATGGAAAAATAGTTGTTAAAGCTAGGAAACCTTGGGGGTAGATTTAAGTGCTATGCCACAGATTAATTTTGCATTTTCCCTCTTACTATTATACTTATGACATATCAGTCACATATGAGAGCAAGGAGCTCAGATGTATGTAAAGCAACATATGGATATTTTTTCCTTTTTAGCAAGAAAAGAAAGTTTAAAAGAAAGTTTCCATATGCATGATAAAAATAATGAAAAATACAAGTAATGTAGAATTTTATGTGGGAGGTAGAGGGCTGTTTTGCCTTATGGGTAAATTAGAGTCTGATGTATCTATGTGAAGAAACAAACCAGAAATAAGAGGTTTCCCATATTATTAATGCTTGTATATGAGAGGTTAATGCTTTTTTTCCCCTCATTTTTTGAAAGCCACTATTAAAGTACATTTTATGTACAACTTGAGTATAATTCAACATGTCAGAAAGGAGGTACAGAAACAGTCTTCTAGTTGCAATAGAGATTATACAAACTACTGTAACCACAGCACATCTACCTAGGTTTCTCAATAGAAGTCTATCCAGAATCATCATTTTGAACTACAGGTAACATCCATGAAGGGACCATGAACTAGCAAGCAAGAAAACATATGTAGGATAAAAGCACACATGAAATAATACATGGGTGTAATAAGAAGCACCTCTTGATTAATTTAAAAAATCCAATTATATGACCATTTGGACTCTTCCACATTCTTCACAGACTACTAAGTACTTTGAGAAACTATGAAGTAAAGAAACATTGTGAATTGTTGCTAATAATATAAATAAGAAAAAAGGCAAGTGACAGACAAAAAATATATAAAAGAGGACGGCCAAGGAAACATGAAGATAAACATACAGTTATGTTGTCTTAGTTGATGCAATACGCAAAACAAATTTTAAAACATCTATAAGCGGAAAGGGTAAAAAGAAGTGTATATTTAACAAAAATATTTTCTCCTTTTATGTTTTATTCCACTTCTAAGGAATTTATGTTGCTCTCATTTATCCCCATCATCAGATTAATAGTAGTGTAAAATATAAAGTTAAAGAACAAACATGACAAATGTATTTCTATGATCATAAAATTATGACAATATAGCACTTAATATACCACATATTATATACTTAAGCACATAAGAAATCTTCTGTCATATCCTAATCTTTCTATGTTATATATTTACAGAAGTAAAATAATGAGATCTGAGAGGAAGTGAAAGGAAGTGGCAGGAGCAAATAGCATCTATCTAGTTAAAGAATTTTCAATATAAAATTATGATAAATAAGGCCTGGTTGGCAAATTTAATGCAACATTTTAAAATTGTTCTGTAAAAATAACTATATAATCTCCTCTAAGTTAATCTTGTCTAGTCAACTTATTACTGTTAGGAATTGACAAGTAAAGTCACAAAGTAAAAAAAAATAAGTATTTAACAATATCTCTACACACAAGCTATTTCCAAATTTTTACACACCCTTTCATGGAAAAGTTAGGCTATTTGTAACTGTTAGTATAAGCTATTTTATAAAATGAAACCTTATTTAATCAATCTACATGTAATCAATTAGGAGTATGAAAATAAGTAGTAGTTTTTAGATATTGATTAGTGCCAGCACTGCCCCCAAAATTAAATGCTACATAATTTACTCATTTTTGGGGATCCATAATATGAACTGAAACAACTAAAAAAATACTACCAAAATAAAATAGCTATCACTCTAGATGAGACCACAATAAACACAGCACCAATTTTTACACTCTACACTACTAACTCTGTAAAGAACATTAAAAAGTTTTAAAAAATTATTTTCCCTAATATCTTTAAAACATATGGTACAGGTAATTTTAAGTATTACAATTACTTGGTTCTGAGAAGCAACCATGAGTTGCCTATTTCCAATAATTACAGTAATGAGCTTTTGATACATCATTGAAGTAAATGAAAATAAAATAAAAATATTTACAATAGTAACATTACAAAAAGTCATTTCACAAAAGTATAAACTAAAACGTATATGACTTCTTATGTGGCACATTAAAAATAATCTCTATAGGCTGATAATGCAGGCTTACATTTGGGATACCAAATAATGACTTTTAGATGCCATAAATATGTGCACCTATTATCATGGGGACCAAAATAGTCTAAGGATAAAGGAAATATAAGCAGCTTTTGCAAGAGTATTTGGTTATCTGTACTACACCTGTTTCAGAAATTATACAAAGTGATTTTCACTTCAAAGAACAGTTATTCTGTGTCCTAAATTTATTAACAGAAATTCAGTATTCAGTTAACCTATGCTGTTTTCTTTTTAGATCAAATTTTACGACCTTACTGTGAGCATATTAGTATCTCTACATAACCTTGGCTAAAAAATATTTCTAAATAATTATCTCTATATACAGTTAAACATTAATCATTTACAGCCAAAGGTGTTCAGGCTCATTTTGAAAATACAAAGTATTCTTCTTTTGTCAGATGTACAATTTCACAATTACTTGACCCATCAATTGCTAATCAGATGGCTTCTTTACAAATGAAATTATATTCCAAGTTATCCAAACAGCACTGACTCTTTACCTACTCCCAACAAATACAGAAGCACTAGAACTACCCATATTGCACATAGTACTAACTTATCTCTAACGCTTAGATCTACGTTCCATTTCATTCTTTAGGAGGCTGCCAACTTTAACAATAGAATAAAGCCATATAAAAAGACAAAATGATAAATATTTGTCACATTCTGAATCACAGCAGATATATTAGGCCACTTCCTTTACAGATTTTCTTCTGTCTGAACTTATTTTTATTTTATTTTAATTAAATTTATTGGGGTGACATTGGTTAAAAGATTATAAAACCTTTACAAATTTTTGAGTTTCTCAATGACAGCCCCAAACCACGAAGCTTGTGACTGTCCTTGGTGCTGAAACTTTTTTTTTCTTTTTTTTTTTTTTGCCCCTTCACTAGAAAAAAAATCTGTCATTCCCAATCCCATTTTGAGATGATAAAAATAATCCTGAATTGTGTGTGTATTGGGGGCTGGGGGATGTCTGAAGATGGGAGGTTTTAAAAAGGAACTGATAAGTTTCTGGATAGAAAATGCTAACTAGTGTGTGTGTGTGTGTGTGTGTGTGTGTGTGTGTGTGTGTTTTGGGCGGGGGTGGGGGGTGGCGAATCGGGTTGCTAGAAACATCCAGAGGGCATTTCCCCCTCGGTGCCCAGAGACCCAGGAAATCCGGACTGCGGCAAAGACTGGAAACGCCTCGAGCCGGGCAGAAGCTGCCGGCAGGAAGGCGCCCTCGCCGGGGCAGCTCCTCGGCGGGAGCCAGGCGGGCGAGGACAGCCAGGGGTGCCGCGGCTGGGGACGGCGGCGACTTAACGTGCCAACACGCTAGCCCCGGGGTCCTTTTGTTTCGGGGGTCTGTGGGGAGGGCACCCGGGCAGAGGGGAACCCCCACCTGCATTTATTTTCACAGAGGGGTCGACAAAAGACCTTGCTGCGGGGCAGGCAGGGTCCGCGGAGCCGGAGCGGCTACGGCGCCTGGGCACCGGCTCGGCCCTTCTCCTTCTGGTCCCGGCCGCTCTTACCGTCCCGGTCGCACAGCTGAATGGCCTCCAGGCTGAGGTTTTTGATCACCTCCTCACAGGGGCTGGTGGGGCTGTTGAGGGCATGATCCAGGCGCGGCACCTCCATTTTTCTAACCCCCTTCTCAAGCCCGCCTGCTCCGTATCCAGGCTCTTTTGGTGGACCGGGTGGGAAGGAAAGGCGGGAAAGGGAAGGGAAGTGGCGGAGGGGAGGGGAAGAGGACCCAGACCGCGCTGAGGGGCCGAGGCTGAACCGCAAGGCTAGAGAGCCGCAGCCAAAGCGACAGCCGTGGCAGAGGCTCAGGGGAGTGTGCGCCTCTGAGAGACCGACAGGCACCCGCGCAAGGGCGGGAGGCGCGCGCTCCTGGCTGGGAGGGGACGCAGCGCTTGGAACGTGAGGGAGAAGGCGCAGCGTGCACGCTCGCGAGAAGACGCGCCCACCTGCTGGCGCGGGGCGCTCTCCGCTCTCCCGCCCCCCCCCCCCCCGCCCTTCCCCCGCGCACGCGCCCCCCGGCTGCCCTCGCACCGTGGGCCGCGTAACCCCGCGTGTGAGGCCACGGATGGCCCACCCTGAGGGAACGGAGAGCGGCTGCGGGTGCCGCGCGCTCTCTTTGGCCCTTTTTGCTGGTAAGGGTGATTTGGCGTACTTTCTCTCCTCACAGTGTCAGTCGGAGCCCGGGTTAGCACTGCGGCGTGCCTGCACGGGGAGGTGAGAGTGAGCAGATTGGTTATTGGAAAAATAAGTGTCTAGACCCGTTGTATTGGGGTTTTGGAACCAGTGGGCTCTCTCCTCCCGCTCAAGGTCTCTGGCTACTAGATTCCCATACCATGCTTGCTCAGCTGGACCTTCCAAACAGCTTCGTCCGTGTGAGGACTGGCAGGGTTTAGGGACAGAAGCAACCTCCGCCTCTTCTTTGCTCTCCCTCTCCCTTCCCTATAACGGAAAAATGTGCTTCTTCAAGTTACCCTAAACTTGTCTGCCCATTGTTTTTAGTGGTAGTGAAGATTCTGCAGGGCACTTAGCGAAGGTACAAATGTTTTAAAAATAAAATGGATGCATGTCACAGCCTATTGACCTCTGTTGCCATTTGCTTCTTTGGAATAGTTTTTACTTCTGTTGTCATCTTGAGATAAAAAATAATGACTCCCCCTTTATGGTGTGTATGCATATTTGAAATTGAAGTTCCTTTTTAATGGTTTTCCAATTTCAAGCATAAATGTTAGCCAATAAAGTAACAATTTACATATAGATTGTTATTGTGCTACCCTCTCTAGCCACATCTATTTGGTCATAACATGCCTAAATGTAGTTAATTGAAGCCTCATAAAACAGAAGGACTGGCTTAAGGTAAAATAAGCCTGAGAAAAAAGTTGGCACAACTGCAAGCTGCTAAAAATCTGTGGAAGATAATTGGGTATCTTAAAGTGAAGCGTCTTCTTTGTGAACTTAGGTATTAATGAGGATGGATGTCCTTGTGGTTTGAGAGAATTCTTGTGTAAGGTAGGGGTGTCCCCAAGGAAAAGAAGTTATTTGTTAAGAAATATGATAACCATAATAGAACAACAATAAAAAACAAAAGATTGCTGTGTTCATTTAGAATCATTTGTGGAAAAAAAAGAAATATGACAAGATGACACATATTGGTGAATTTCCTCTGTTCAAAAGCCGGGCTCCAAAATATAGTATATTTAATAAAGATTATATATTAAAAAAATAAAAATAAAATAATTTTTAAAAAGCCTGGCTCTAGAGGACTAGAACTTGATACCATCATCCCAACTATTGTGGGTTCATCTTTCAGAATACTAGCATCAATTTTAAAAACCTCAAAAGGAGCTGTGTAAACTAGATTGCCAATTTATTGATTTACAGGTGAAACTGTAACTCATGCTTATAATTAAAACTAGAACTCATACAAATATTTATTAAGCACCTTCCATGTCCAAGGACAATTCACGGATATTGAAAATGTTGAGTTCAAGTCCACCAGGAAAGAAAGATGACAAAGCAAAATTATATGAACATTATGAGAACCTGTGGAAGCTCACACAGAGGTCCTAACCTAGTCTAGTTACTCAGGAAAGCCTCTAGAATGATTTTATTTTAAGAGAATGGGAGATTATTGAAAGGCTTTAAAAGGCAAATTCACATGATCAGATTTGGGGGCCAAAATATTTGTGTAATGGGGAAGTGGGGTGATGTTTTGAGAACTAGTAACGTGACCTTCTGAGCACAAGACCTATTCCATCCAAGGCAGCTTTTTGCTGAGGATTTAGATTACATAAGAAGTACAAAAGAAAGAGTTAATATTTGACTTTTGACACTTAATGTAAGATTTTTTAGCAAGTTGTCAGACTTCAAATCAAGACATTGTCAAGAGATAAGATGTACCTTTGTTGCCTTGGCCAGGTGGCTCAGTTGGTTAGAGTGTAGTCGCATACCTATGGCTTAACAAATCAAGGTTAGACCTAGTGGTGCAAATGATAAGAGTTTCTCCCATAGTGAAGACAAGATATACTGTTTCACCATAAAGGCTTAGGCCAAGATTATATAAAGAAGACAGTGGCAATGAGGTAGGTAAAGTAAAAGAAAATTTTATCCTCTTTGACATGTAGAATTATAAAAAAGAGGTACAAGTGCTCAAGAAAGACCACCAATAACAGTCTTATTCTCACCTGGAGGATATAAGGTGAACAGTTTTAGCTTTAGAAATGTAGAGATAGGTATGACAAAACTCAAGGGCAGAAAAATTTTTGTCCCAGTTCTCAGATCTTTGGAAGGATATCACTTGGTTAGGCTTAGGTTACCACATTCAATTAACCTTGAACAAGGCATCATAGGCAGAGGGAGGTCAGGAATTTACTTTCCAGAAAGCTTGTGTACTCAGAAGGCAGCTGAGTTGAGAGCTAGCAGACCTGCCATGAAGTCTGGTAATAAAAGAGCAAGGTGATACTCTAGCGAAAACTGCAGGTGTACCTTCTGGAGCTGGGGTGTTTAAAGTACCAAGAAATGAGTTCTGCCAGTCAGAGATGGCTACTAGGCCCTGACCAAACTGAGAAAGCAAAAACATGAACTTCTCTAGCCACCAACTTCAAGTGAAAGACCAGAAGCAACTAGGCACCCAAAGGATGTCACCACAGAGACCATAAGAGAAAAAAAAATTCAAATTCCATGACCCTTTGTCCCGATGCCTCAAGGTAATGGAAGCTCCCCTCTTCTGATATTCCCAAATACAATCTAAAATAGGATGTTGGGGAAAAGGTAGGAATATGGAAGGCTGGGGATCTTACCTAAAAAAAGATGAACTTTATCTAAAGGAACTAATTAAAATACTGACTGAACCCAGGTTCCTGGATTAGACGTGTGTGTGTGTATACTGATTATATACAGGCACATATATAATCAGTGAATGAAATTTCATGAAGACCAAATTAGTTTTAGATAAAATGAAAATTCTTTTCATACCTAAGTTGCATTGTGAGTTTTGGGAATTCTCATACATTTTAATTGTTTAATTGTTAGCTTGAGGTGCCCAATATTACTGTCAAAATCCTACCAATCATTCAAGCTGCAACTCAAATGATACATTCTCTGTAAAGATTATTCCCTCTGGCAGAAATCTTTTTGTTTTTTTTCATGGGGCTTTATAGTTATCCACAGACACAATTACACTATGAATTATGTTACTAGTATACATGAAGAATAAGACTCAAATTTGGAAAGGACTTTAAATATATCCTATTTAATACCTTATCCAATGTTGAATCCTTTGACAAGAAGTTGTTTATCTTTTAATAAATAGTAAATTAAAATACTTATGAAGTAATCCAAAGCCTTACTCATTCTGTGCCCAAACCTGCCTCCTGTAAGGTAAATACAGAGGCCTTAATTTTCCCCTCTATTAGTCATACACAATATTGATAAACTTTCTTCCATCTTCTGCCAATGTATGTTCAATTCTCTGGCTAAATATTCCTACTTTCAAACACTTATAGCACATTGCTTTGAGTCCCTCTCTCACACTGGACACTGTCCTCTGGGTAGCTCTAATTTTTCTAAGTGTCCATAGGTGAATATTCCAGGTGTGAAATAAAAGAATAGAAATAAGAACATGGTAGTCTGTCACAACCCTTGCTCTACATGCCAGACTCCGTGTAACACAGCCCAGGAGCACATTAGCTTTTCTGACAGTAGTATCACTCTGGCACACATCCTGAGTTTATAATCACATAAAACCTATACTTCTTTCCTAGACATTTGTTATTTCCCCTGTGATATTGTGAAAATTAAGTATATATAGTATTTATGTAGAGAAGATAATCAGTACAATTTGCTGAATTATTTAATTGAACTTCAGTGCTTTGAGTGTGTAAACTTATATTGCTGCAATTAGCCTAGAATTTTATCAAACTCAAAGTAAAAATAAGTTACAAAGTCCTTTAGTTAAGCTTATAAGTACAGAGGTCATTCTTAGATGAACCACAGCCCTAGGCACTCCCCACTTTTTTATGTCTAGGCAGAAGGCAAAAGGTGAGAACCAAAACCATAGGTAGAAGCAAATCAAAAATGCCTTGCAAATGAAGGAGTGTTTTTTTTCTCTTAAAACATTACCATAACTTTTTCTAAGCCATCATTGTAAATGGTAGTACAAGAGAAAGGTTATGATCGACAGACAAAGTTGAAAACAATCCAGATGTTCTATATTCAATATACTGACCCAGGTAGGTGGTACCTGGACTTGTGAATATCAAATGAGATAATACACATGAAAGTAATGTGTGAGCTTTTGACCACCTCACAAAGTTAGGATATTGTTATTATGGGACACTAAGAATGCCAATAAGAAAGGATATCTGGTCAATTTTACAGTACAAAATTCTGGAAATATTTTAATACCTATATAGCTATTTGAAAACATTAAGAACTTCCATATTCAAAATGTCTTCATAATTTAGCACAGTGATTTTCATTCTTTTTTTTACCTTATGGCACACATAAACTACTAAAATTCTTTTTTACCTCATGTCACATATAAACTACTAAAATTTTGGTGGCACACCAAAAATACATATTTTTTGCCAATCTGACAAAAGTAGGATTTTTATTTTTTTCACACCAGGTAGCTATTGTTGTATTGGTTGTTGTCATTTTTTTATTTGACAATCTAAGGGAAAAGAGGTCAGTGACCCTGACTAAATAGTCAGGTATTGCATGTTTTAAAAACTTTTGTAGCATACCAGTTGGAAATGACTGGTTAGTGTGTTGAGACCCTTTAAAATTACATCAGATTATATTTGCTTTTGGTAGACTTAGCTCAATGGTAAATTTTTGCCAAGCTCATAATCAAATACTCAAT